ACTAAAATGTTTTTGTGACTTTTTTTCTACTTTTGCTTTTACACTGATTTATATAAGTTTTTATTTAGATCAAATATTTGTTCTTCAAATTAAATACAGAACATGATCAGTTATTTCTAAAGAGAGAATAAAGTAGTAGAGGGGGAGTCACACTTCCAATTCATTTACCTGTGTGTATAAATTGAGCTTCTTTCCGGCAAGGAAGCTACGTTTAGCCAGGTAAACAATGGAAAAGTAGCCTAAGTCCCCTTTCATGCGGGTTTTCCAGTCAGGTCTGCCTAACAATTTTTCAGGCGGACCTGTTTGGAAGCCCGATGTTAGTCTATCGGCAGCCGTATGTAAATGGATGGGCATCCGTTTACATTCGGTCACCCGCAGCTCCGACCAGGTCTAGAAAAACCAAAGGATCAGAGATCCGTTTTGCCAGACCTAATCATGCCGGGTAGGGGGTAATCCCATGTAAACAAATGCCCATCCATTTAGATCTGGCTGCTCATGGACTAACATGGGTCCATTAATACCAGTTTTTTTTTTCTCCTACCTTCCTTGTAAAAACTGCACGGACATGGATGTCACACAGGTGACATCCGTTCAGAGAAAGGGATCCGTGCACGGATCCCCTCCCGATTGCACAGTGTAAAAGGGGCCTAAAGCTGGCCATAGACCTTACAACCATCGCAAGACTTTTGTCTTGCGATGGTTGTAAGGTAATTAATAAAACGTACGATCTGCCCATCTTGGACAGGCAGATCATACTTGCGATCATCGCAAGCCCGCCTCCCTGAGGGACGGGCTTCCGATGACTGCAACGCTGAACAGGCAGTGTGCGCTTGCGCACACCGGCCCATTCGGCATTTGTCTTACGAGCATGCCACAAACCCGCCGACAATCGTACGATTCCCGGTGGGTTTTTGAACATGCTTGTAAGACAAAAGTCGTGCGACCTTACAGTAGCAGAGGTCGCACGCCTTCCATACACCTTGCAATTATGGTACGATCGCGGGTTTTCCCGCAATTATCGTACGATAATCACAAGGTGTATGGGCACCTTTAGTCTCTACCTGCATGCTAGAAACAATAAATTTAAAATCCTCATATACAATAATTCTTGACAGAAAATTTGAAAACATTTTTACGAGTGCAATTTCTTTTATTAATGAACACAAAAAAAAATATTTAGGCACTATGACAGAACCTAGTGTTGGTTATCCGTTTAGATGGAGCACTGAGATCTTGAGCAATGCTAAATTAAGTTTTACCTTGCTTATAAAGGACATTACATGTGAATACTGCATTATACAGCATACAGAATGAACTTCCTGTATATGTCAGATAAGCATGCACACAGAAAACTAACATTGCATCACAGCGCCATCTACAACTCAAAAGACAAAACAGTAGAATGTCAGTAATATGCCGTTGTATTTCCAATAACCCTTCTCAACAGCATATGCATTGCTATATGATGTTTAGCTTCTCTCGAAGGAAACTGTGACAATCCTTTGGCAATGGCTTGGTGAGTGCATCCACCGTCATTTTTTCTTTTGCTGCCTTTCTCCATTTATTGGCTTTGCATTTTGGTAATTTTTCTATGTCTTCCCACAAGGTTAATTCGAGAATGCTATGTGTCTCAGCAGAATATGACAGCTTGCAGGGTGGTACTCCCTTTGTTGCTCGAGTGGATCTTCTAATTTCAGGTTGTTCAGCAGAATTTAGCATGGAACTTGACTTATCCATCGTGAGTTCCACCTCTTGCTCCGATTCCTGTGCGGCTTCACTTTGCTCAGCTTCC